AATGTATTATTTATATATTTTTAATTTTTGCAAAAAAAAATTACAAATCACTTAAAAAGGTTAAAATAATATATATAAATCCTTTAAATAAATTTTGTATTTATGCTAAGATGATATAATACTTTTTAACTACTACTATATATTAAAAATTATAATTTTATATTTTTAAAAATCAAAATATATTATATATTAATATTATAACTTATTAGTAAAATTTTCATTTATAAATTTAATTTCATATTTAGTATAATATATTGCATATATATTGATTTCTATTTTTTTTTAATACTAAAAAAAGTTATTAAAATTATTTAATTTTATAATATGGTCTGATGCAAAAACATTTGTACATTGAAAAAATCACCAATAAAAAAAATTTTATTAATTAAACTTTTTTTTTATTATTTAAATAATATTAATATGTATCGGGAAGTATAAAAACGTGAAAATAGAATCAAATCACATGATTATCATCAGAACTACTATAATCATCAAATTCATCGTCAATTAATTATGCGTTTTCATCAGATGCAAAATATTTCTTAGCATTGTTTAACGCCCTTCTCCAAAGCCTGATAATAACTTGTAAAGTAATTTTATATTTAAATGCATCCAATAGTTTGTTTCAGATAGATAAAAGGTTTAGATGTAGGCTCAAACGTGCAACTTTACCCTTTACTACTGACCAAACACCTTCGATAGGTTGAAGTTCACAATGATATGGAGGGGTAAAATTAATTTCATGTTCGTACTGTTCTGCTATTTTAACACAAGAAAAAGGAATCTTTTTCTTATTCATTTGCACTAGTTTCAAAAGTTCTGGCTTTCTTAATTCACTAGAAAAAGAAATATCATATGCATTTAACCAGTCAACTATTTCTTGTTTTTTTGCACTTGAAATTAGAATGTTTTCTACTCGCCGTTTATAGTAACTAGCTCTATCCATATGGATGATTACTGCTCATATTTTTCATGAAGATTTTTACATAGAGTTGTAAAAAGATTCTCAAATATTTCTGCATTGAAGTTTCTGCGATAATCTACCTGATTTGGAATAATATTGGCATCCTTAATAACATCAGGAATATTGTTTCATTCTTTAGCATTGTTTCTTTTTTGATCTCTATTTCCTGGAGGTTTAATTTTTGGATCTTAAATATGAATAGAGTTCAGAACAAGTTCACTATGCAGTTTATTGGAGGACCCATTTCAAAATACTATAATTGCACCAAAAATTACTACTAACGGTCTATGCCCAGGTGATAAAACAACACCTTGATGAAAAATCCATATGTTTCGCAAAGTGTGATGCAAATGGCAATACAACTCATCAAGAAAAACCTCTGAGTGGCATAGAACATCATTTTTACCTTCCAAATTAGCAAACCTATAACGAAAATAACAGCAATGAAATGCAACATTATTTGGTGATTCATGAAGGATGTTCTTTTACTCTTTCTGGCCAAAATAATATCCCAAGCGATGTAGTATCCAAAGGAGCTTCCATTTAGAAATGGTATATTCTTGTTCAGAAAGAAATTGTCTTAGAATAGATGTGGAAAGGTGTTCACCTGCTTTATTGGTACTTAGAACCTTCATACGCAAAAGCTCAGCTACATTTTCATTAGATTTTAATATAGGTCGTCTAAGAATTTTGTGTGGTGTAAATGTATTATTACCACAGCTATTCAAATCTGATACAACACTTCCAATTGTACCCTCAGATACACCCAATATCTCAGCAACCCGCTTGCGTAATAGTAGCTTCTGAAGGCTTTCCCTTATAGATTTATCCTCCTTTAAAGTAATTGTGAATGTTAATTATCATCAATTTTTCGTTATCTGTCAGTATTATGCCATTTTGTTTTAAAAAAGGAAGATTCATGACATGATAAAAAAACTTGTGGGAAAAAATGTGTTTGGTTATGTTCTAATAAATATTTAATTTTTAGCCCACTTTATTTTAGTAATACAATATTTATTTTAGCATAAATCTTTTCTTTTTTTGACGATATACAAATCTTTTTGCACCGGACTATAATTAAAAATTATTTTTTAAGATTTAACTAAACTTAATTAAATACTTAACTATTATTTTTATAATAAAATTTATTATTAATAAATATTAAAAATGCTAATTTATAATTATATATTAAACTTATTAATATAAATATTTTATATTTAATTTTTTTAAAAAATAAATTTTATTTATAAGTTAAATATATTATTTTTATTAAAATAAATTTTTATGTAATATTATTTAAAAATAAAAATTTCTTTTGAATTTCAAACTTTTCTATTATAAAGTAATTATATAATATAATATTTTATATAATAAAAATTATATAACTTATAAAAATAATCTATTTATTAATAATTTATTTTAATAAAATTCTTTAATTTTTTTATAATAGATTTATTTAAAATTTAATAGAGATTTAAATCAATTAAAATTTTATATTTGATTAATCAATTGTTCAAAATATTATTATTAAAATTAATTATTGAATAATTATTTGAATTATTCAGATTATTTAAATATTTAATTATTACATACAAACAATAAAACAGAAATTAATTTTATAGCTTTTATTAAAGTTTATTATTAAATAATAATCTTTTGTTTTATAAATTACATATTTGTTTATTTTTAAATATATAACTAATTTAAAGTTTTAAAATAATAAAAATTTTTGAAATAAAGATATTATTATATTTTTAGTATAATAAAATAATTCTTTTTATTATAAAATATATAAATAACTTTTTAAAATATTTTCAAAAAATAATATAAATATTATTAATTATTTAATTAATTTAAAATTAACTAATTTTTATTTTAGTTGATTATTATTATAATATTTAAGTTTTATAAATTTATATAAAATTAAAGTTGCTTATCTAAACTTACTTTGATTTAGCAAAATATTTAAACTTTAACTTTGCTAATTTTTATTAAAGTTTTAATATAATTTCATATTTTTATAAACTTTAATATAATTTACCTTTTTAGAGTTTTACAAATTTTTTAAATATAATTTTGTTAAATTTTATCTTTACTATTTAGACTACTACAAAATCTCTAGATTCTATCTAATAACTTTATATAAAATAAATAATAGATATTTTATTAATATTTAATCAAAATATAATTTTTTAAATTATTAAAGAAATAAATATCTAAATATTCAATTATCTAATTATCTTTTAACAGTTAATGATAATTAATTAAATAATCAAATATCTGATTAATAATTTTCATTTAATTAAATATTATAATTAGTTAATTATTTCTAAATGATATAAATACGGATTAAATAATTTAAAACTCTAAAATTTTTAAATTTAAAATAAATAATTAAATATAATATATTAAATAATAAAAATATTTATTATTTTTATTAAAATAAATAAAAATAAAAATAATAAATAGATTAAAATTATTTAATATTAATTTAAATTTATATTATTAATAATTAAATTAATAATCAATAAATTTTATTAAAAAATAAAATTTGTTAAGTATTAATAAAATTTCTTTAAAATTTATAAATTATTACTAAATTAATATAAATTTATTGAATATTAATAAATATATTAATTTTATTATTTTAATTAATAAAAAATATTTTTTTTTAAATAATTTATTATTTAATGATTTAATTCTAACTTAAATATTTTTTTTTATTTTTTTTTTATATTACTATTAATATTTTTAAAAAAATCTTATTTTTATATTTATTTTAAAAAATCTAAATATATATATATATATATATTTTTATACTTTATAATTATATTATATTTATATATATATATTTATTTAATAATAAATATTTAAAAAATTAATAATAAAAATTAATAATTAAAATTAATATATTTAGATTTATAATTTTTTCTTATTTTTTATTAAATTATTATTTTATTAATTTATATAAGTTTGATAATTAAAAGTTATAAAGTTTTATTAATCTAAATGATATGAAATTCTATATATTTTTATATAAAATGTTCATATACCTGCTTAATAATTGAGTTGATATTGATTATCTCTTATAATTATATAAAATTAAATAAAGTAAATATTAGTGTAAATTTTTTAGTTAAGATTATTTTAGAATTAATAATAGTTCTTATTATCTAATATAATATATTTTTAATAATTTTTAATAATATTTTATTGTTAATTATAATTCAAATTTAAGTATCTAATTTAAATTTAATAATTTTACTTTTAATAATAAATTAATTATATTTAATTAAATAATTATAATTATGTAAAATTTTTATAATAAAACATTTATTTTTACAATTTGAAAATAAATTTTATTAATTTTATACTAATAAAAATTAGAAAATAACTATCTCTACCCTATAGATATCATATCCTATAGGCCTACTGATGAACATGTGAATTATGATATCATTATTTAATCACTGGTTTATCATAAAAGTATTGTTAATCATTAAAATAAACTTTTTTTTTTTTTTTACACTTTTTCTGACTTAAAAAACTAGTAACTTTCTCAAAAATAGATATTAATCTTTGGGAAAACCATTTTTTTGACTAAGAAAATATTAATCTAGATTCAGAAATAATTAATTATTAATGATGAGAAATCACCTAAAAATAAGGATATATTATTAGAAGTTCAAATTGATCTGTCATTTGAATCGTAAGAATATTTTAAGGAAAAATTTAATACATATTGTCTTTAATGAGGTTTTAGTTTTAAAATTAGGTGAAGTAATTTTAATAACAATGGCAATATTAAATGACTTACATATGCGTGTACTAAATCTGGCAAATATGTTATACAGGTTACTATAGATTCTATAAAAGACGAATTATATTATCACAAAGAATAGAATATCTTTAATGAGTTAATATTTTACTTTCTAATAATATTATTAAAGTTACTTCTTTTAATAATGACTATAATCATCTTATAAATTCTATAATCAGAAAAATGGCTTCACAATTTTAGAAATTTACTTTTAAAATGTTAAATGATATTAAGAAGTATATTGTTATAGCATGAATAGATTCATTTTCGATATATTCATTACTCTTTTATGATTATTCTAGACATATTATAAATAAGCGAGATTTATATAATGCTGTATATAAGTTTTGTCAGCAAAATAATTCTGAAGATTCAAATACATCACAGATGTTACAATTATTATTACAATAGAAGAAAGATAATCTAAGATGGGTTGTTAAACCTCATATTGAAAGTATTTTAAAACGTTTAACATTAATTATGTGGATGTTACCTTTGTAATTAGATTTGTATTTATAATATTTTAATGTTATTATTATAAATACTACCTCTAATACTAATCATTTTTACCTAATGCTTAACATTATTATTATGATTGATAATAATTTTAAATCACGTATTATAATTACAGCTTTTCTTGAAGATGAAACTCAAGAATCTTTTTGTTAGATTTTTGATATCTTATATCAAAAAACTGGAGTTTATCCAAAATCTATATATACTAATTCTAATTCAGCAATATTAGTAGTAATTAAACATGTATTTCTACAAACTAAGTATTTTTTATGCATGTTTCACATTGATATGAATTTGCAAAAAAAATTGAAGGGTAAACTTAAACAACATTTTGAAGAATTTTGCAAACAATTTTATATTTGTCATAATAGCCTTTCTTGACAATTATTTGAAATCCGATAATCATTATTAATTAAGAAATACCCTATTATTAAGAAATACATATCTGAAGTTTTATACAAAAATAAGAAATCTTAGGCAATGACATAGATTAATAAATGTTTACTACTAAAATACAAAGTACTCAATGTATAGAATCAATTAATAATCATATTTACAACAAAGTAGATTATTCAATATCATTATGTGATTTATTATATGAGATTAATAATTAGATAAATAATGAAGAGTCATTTGAAAGATTTGAAATGCAATTCTAACTGTTGACTTGCCTATGATTCATATACAATTTTTTAGTCAAGTAGATGAAATGATAAAGGCTTATCTTAATTTAATTATTCTTGCTAAACAGCAATATCAAATGAATTAATCATTATATTATGATATTCACATTATTACTCAATAGTAAGATATTATCTTAAAGCAAGATTATGATTATAATAATGAAAGATTAGATTCAGGATCTAGAGAAACAGAATATAATGTTTCTCAAATACTTTACAGTTTTTTAATTGAAAATATTTTTGCAAAACAGATAATTTAAGTTTTGTATATTAAACGAACTGAATGTTTAACAATTAAAAATTATATTATTTTACTCAATGATAATACATATCTTTGTACATATATGATATTAATTAATAAAGGCATTATTTATCATCATTTTTTTCATATTAGAACTTACTTAAATCAAGCAATATTCATATTAATCTTATTTCTTCTCATTGGTATAAGGATTTAAATATTTCACAAAATGATCTTTTTGTTTAAGTTAAACCCATTTAAATATCTTATACTAATAATTTACATACTTTATTAATGCATCAAATTACTTTAAGTCATTTATTATTAATTTGAGATACCTTAATTCATAATAATATTACATCAAAAGGGTCTAACACATTTTATGCAGAACTGTATGGATTTTTTAAAAAAGTTATTGATCTAGTAATTAGAAGTGATATGTGTAAAGAACTTAATACACTTTTAAAAGAATTATTTATAGATGTTCAATTAAAAAAAAAATTTATTGAACCTGAAAATTTTACATTTGAAGTAAAAATCCTATTGTTATGCAACATAAAGTCAAAAAGACTTAAACTTAGCATTAAAATTACTAAATCTAAAGGCAAATAAGTATTAAATAAGAATACTAACATTTATATGATTAATGATAATGAAAGTAGTCAGAATACTGCAAGTACATGTAGAAGAAAATGTAGTAAATATAAACAAATAAGTCATTATGCAAAGACATGTTCTAATTAATACTATGTATTTAATAATTGATACATGAAATAAAGAAGATTTTAAAGTAGTCTTTGATATATGTTATCAAAATATTTAGTAATAGCTCAAATTACTATCATAATTTAAGCTATTCTAGCTTAAATTACAGTAATAATCTGAGCTTAGCTCCTTTCGATTGCTAAAAAATACTTTATTTTCTATAAATCAGTTACTATATATTGCATAAATATTTAATACATCAGTACGCTATTTACTGTTGCATAAATTTATTTATATTATAAGGTTTTATACTCACTGGATACAATAAAAATTTTCTAAAAATTATATTTATATTTTATTTATAATATAATTTATTTTTATAATTTATTAGATTTTCATAGAAGTTATTATTTTTTATTAGATTTAATTAAAACTTTTTAATATTTTAAAATAAAAAATATTTTTAATTATTAAAGATATTTTATTAAGTTTTTTTAATAAAGTTACTTTAAATTATAAAAATATTTTTTATTAATCTATTTATTAAAAAGTTAAACTATTAAAACTATCTTATAGAATAAGAAATTTGATTTTAAATAAATGATCATCAAAAAAAGTATTATATTATAATAAACATTTCTAACTAATAATAAATTATTCAAATTTTAAATATACAATCAACTCTTAATATAGCGAACTCTTAATATAATGAATTTTTTGAACAAATATAATAAAAATACTCTTATTATAACGAATAGGCTAATCAAATCTCTTAAAATCTTCACTATAACCTTATAGCGAATTTGAGGTCTAGGACATAAAGTTCGTTATAACAAGAGTTAACTGTAAATAAAATTAATTAATAAAATAATATTAAAAATTTATTATTTAAAAATTTACTATTAAACTATTATTTTATAATATTAAAATATTGCTATTATAAAATATATAAATTTTATTATTAAAATTATATTGTGTTTATAATCAAATAATAAATAAATTAATAAATTAACCTAGTAAAGTTTATTAATAAGATTATTTAATCTCTCTTTCTCTTTCTATAGAATATTATTACACTAATTTTTGTAATACTTTTAATTAATTTATAATACTTAAGATTTTATTATCAAAATTAATTTACAGAATATTATAATACTAATTTTATTAGAAAAATAAATTTTAATTTAAATGTAATATTTATTTAAGAAATTTTAAAAGAAAAATAATCATTAAAAATTTATTTTTTTTTTTTTTTAAAAAAAAAAATAGTATTTTTAATAATAAATACAATAGTTGTCATAAATATCTGACTCCTCATAATTCTTAAAGTTAATTAATAATATCTATTAAATTTTTTTTAAAATTTAAATTCAATACTAATCTTGATAATTTGTAAAATTATAAATTTGTATCATGTATAATTTAGAAGTTAAATGATCAGTAGATTTTATATTTCAAAAAAAAATAACCTTTTTTTTATGTAAATAATTTCATTTTTTATTATTTAACGCCTAAACTTCTTAAATATATAGATTTTTTTTTAATATATTAAATTTTTAGAAGTTATTACACATTTTTTATAGAATTTTAGATAGATTACACAGATATTTAGAGAAATTCAATAATACTGTATTCTTCTTTTTAATTTTTGAATAATGTTTATATTAACTTTTTGCCAAATTTATTCTAAGTTCTTTTTTCTAAAAAATTTTTAGATATAAGCCAAAAGGTCACTTTTATAATAATTATATATATAGTTAATACTTATACCCTTTCTTTTAAAATTCTATTCTATTCTATTCTATTCCATCTTAATCCCAATCTCAAATTTCAATCCCAATTTTAATCCCAAATTCCACCCAAATCCCATAATTCTAATTCCAAATCCTAATTCTAAATCCTATAATTTTAAATTTTAAATTTCAAATTCTAATATTAGTATTATCATTTACAATACCTACAAATATTTGTAATTAATTAGTATTAAAACTAAATTAGTTAATTAAATTTATATTATAAAATAAATAAATAAACTTAATAAAGTTATAATAAATCAAATAAAAAATATAATGATTATGTAAACTTAATATTTATATTTATTATAATATTTATTAATAATCTTAATTTTTTTAAAATTATTATTTTATTACTAAAATTAAGATTTTAAATTTTCTACCATTTTATCAATATCAAAATTTAGATCTCCATGATCAATTCTGATTTCTTCTTCTTATTTATCAGAATTAATATTATCTGCATTTAATATACTTGCTGATAAATTAATATAATTAATAATTTCTAAATTATCATTATTTAATTCTTCTATATCTTTAATTTCATCATGTTCAAAAGTAAAATTTGTTTCAAATTTTTCATTATCTTTAAAATAAATCACTTTTATTTACCATTGCTGATGCAATTTGATCAAAATTTTCATCAAGAGTTTCTAAAGAAATGTTTTCATTTAAAAACTTTAATTCTGATTTTGCATTTTTTACAAGATATGAATGCATTTGTGCCATTATTTGAAATCATTTTATTTTAATCTAAAATAAATTAAGTAATTTAAATAATAATAATTAAAATTATAATAATATAAATTTTGTTAAATTACCTAGTACGCTATTTGCTAAGATATCATCCTAAGATTAAAAATACACGCTGTGACGGGTAAAATTTTAGATAGATTTAATTGGTAGAATAGGAAGTCAATTTTATTGCCATGTAGATCTTCTATGAAGATCATTTT